CTCTCTCTCTCTCTCTCTCTCTGTCTTTCTTTGTATCTCGTTACCTGCGCCTTCTGGTGGTGGTGGTGCAGCAACTCTACATTAAAACACAGTAAGTGTTGGTGAAGGTGGAAATTAACACACAACAGGAAAGCGGAAAAACATAAGAAGGCGGGAGGAAACAAAGAGGCAAGATGGTTAGCGAGCGCCTTGTAAACTTTATGAGTTTGAACGAGTTGGACTCCACGAAGCCACTGATTCGTCACTACTTCCTTCAGGCAAACAATGCGGCCATGCAGGAGATGCAGCGGCAGCGTTCGCTGAACCGCAGCCTCCCCGACGCGACGATCTCGTCGCCCGGCCTCTCGCAGTCAAGTTTCTCTGTTGACCACGACGACGCGGGCTTCTGCAGCAATAACGTTGGCAGCAGCAGCAGCAACCCTGCAAGTGATGAGTCATTCCGCCCACAGTTGTTCGTGCTGTCGCCATCGGTGGCGGAGCCGCAGCGATACTGCCGCAAGGGCGTGCTGGGTGAGACGGAGTCGCTGCAGATGAAGCACGTGGCGGAGTACAACTTCCTTATCCCTGCCATCAGCGCCGCTCTCGACAGCGTCATTGCCGCCCACGAGGCGTGGAGGCGCAAGCAGGAAGAGCTGCGCCTAGAGGGCGACGAGGAGGAGCTGTCAGTCACGGCGATGAGCGAAGACGGCTCTGTCAAGAGCGCCGAGGGCGTGCGGGAGCGCTTCTTCGCGTTCGAGACATCCAAGGAGCCGGGCGTTTCGCTGATAGACTACGTGCGTCGAATTGTAGAGTACACGTACATCTCGCCGTCTGTGCTGCTGGTGTCGTGCCTGTATATTGACCGTCTCCTCACCCGCTACACACCGCTCGTGTTAACGCTCAAGAACATCTTCAAGCTCTTCTCCACCGCGGTACGCGTTGCCAGTAAGGTCATGGACACCCGGACTGTGGGTAACAAGTACTTTGCCCGCACTAGCGGTATTAGCAACGCCGAGCTGAACCTTCTGGAGGTGTGCTTTATGTGGGATATCGAGTTAGAGCTCTATGTGGATGCGACCGAGTTCTACAGTTACGCAGAGGACCTTACCACTGCAGCTGCTGTTGAAACAGAGGATATGGCTTCCAAGCAGGTAGCAGTCGACGCCTCTACCAGTGGCCCCGAGAAGAGCTGGTTGGTGCCCATTGTCAACTCTGTTGGCTGCTCTGGGAGCTTCAGTGAAAGGTCAAAGCACCCACAGCAGCAACAACAACAGCTCCGATCCCTCCCACCGGTTAACGCACCCCGCCTCGTCACACCGGTAGACGGCCACACGTCGAGCCCACCGCGGGGCGATAATTCTGGCGGCGCTGCGTTTGTTTCATGCCAGCGCACAGTAGCCGCTGCGCTGCCAGTGCCGGCGCCCCCACGCCGCGCCTCGTGCCTTCCCGCGTGCGTCACAACGAGGCCCAGCACCAGCCACAGCGCGGCGGCGGCGGCGGTGGTGGGCAGGGAGCGGCTTCTGAGAAGCGGTGGGAGTGAGAAGCGGCGAAGCCGCCAACAAAAATAGGATGGTCAACCCCATCTCGCAGGAGAACGAGGTATGATACATAACCATCGCAGAGGGATGCGTACGCATACATTCCCATTTACTTTACACTATCACTTTCCTCTTTAAAAAACACAGTTGAGGATATAGCTAGCGCACAGTGATAGAGGCGGGGGCGATGATTTGTTCCTGGTATTACATCTGTTTATCTTTCTATCTAAGGCTCGAAATTATATTGCATCCATCAACAATATTAGTGCAGGCATAAAAAGGGGGGCAACATAGAGAATACGGACCACAAAGGGAGGGGGAGGGCAAAGGTTTTTTTGTTGTTGTTGTGAAAGGGGGAAAGAAGCATTTTGTTTTACCGAATGGGAGAGCAGGAAGCCGATGTGCCTCTAGGAAAGCCTTGCAGTCGTCTTTTGATTGTGTAGCTTCACAAGCACCAAACGAGATGAACAAGACGAGGTGATTTTACTTTTCCCCCATTATTGTGTGTGTCTTAGTTCTTGATTGGCTCGTTTTTTGTGTCTCCTCGTTCCCGGGTCTGAGTCACTTTGTGTGTAGTATTGCGGTGCCTTTCCTCACTTGTGCGTGTGGATCTCTTGCACGCGTGAAGGACTGGCGGCGGCGGCAGCAGCAAGAACAACAACAAGGAGCAGCGCCATACATTTGTCGTGGGCGCTTGTGGTAGAGCTGGTGTGGTGGATACCGACGAGGGGGGCGACGTGTGTTGTTGGGCCACCCGACGCCACCGAAGCGGCGAGATCGCGACGGCGGCGCGGGCCCGGAAGCAACAGGCGGAAGCAACCGGAGTCGCCACCGCACACAATGGCCCAGAGACATGCACAACGGAATTTTTTGTTTATCCGTTGAGTAAAAAATAAAAATAAAAATAAAATAAATGAGAACGCTCCTCCAGTCGTTGTTGTTGCTGTTGTTGTTGCTGTTGCTGCTGTTGTTTTGTTTTGTTTTGTGTTTTTTTTTTCCTTTTCTCTTATCTTTCCTTGTTGGTTTTGTTTGTTTGTTTTTTTTTTTCTTTTCGTTTACTCTTTGACTCTTCCCTCTGCTTCGGCTTTCGTTTGCAGCTTCCCTTCGCCGTTGTTTCTTCGCCCGCCCTCTCCGTGGCGCGGCCTCTTTGCTTCGCCGCCCCCTGCTCCGTTGTGCCGGCCTGTTCCTGTTCCCAATGCGTAACCACCCCAGCGTCGCAGCTGCCGCCGTGCTGGCGCGTCGCTTCGTTCTTCCCCCCTCACCCTCCGCCTACTCGTCACTGCACGCCAGCCTGTTCCTTTTTGTTTGTTTGGTTTCCGTCCCTTTTTTTTTCTTTCGGGGGGAGCGTCCTGTATGTTTTTTTTTTTATGTTTCTCTTCCTTCCGCGTCGCCTCCCGCCTTCCGTTGTTTTTCCTTGGGCCGGGGGGCTCTGCACTGTGTGGTCGCTTTCGCCACGTACGTGGGCTGTTCACTTCGTTTGATAGTGACGTTGATTGAAGCTTCTGGTGCAGCTCTGTTTTATTCTTCCAGGTACGCACCCGCTTCCTGTTTTGTTTGTTTTGTTTTCGGATCTTTTCTGCTTTGTTGTTGCTTGTGTACAATCGTCTGGCCCCGCTTCTTTTTTTGTTTGCCCGGGGGCTTGTGTTGTTCCTCGCCGCCGCCGCCGCCGCCGCCGCCACCACCACAACAACGCTGAGGTGGTGGTGGCTGGGAGGGAGGGAGAATGCGGGAGCGAAAGGAAGCCGTCAGACAAACAAACCAACACCATTGTCGTGCCCTCACGCCGCCTATGGTACTTTTTTGGGGGG